GTCACTAGAAATTAGTTTAAATTTTGTGGAATTTTATATAAATGGAATCATGTAGATGTACTGTTTTTAATCTGGCTTCTTTTAGCATAATTATTTTGAGATTCATCAATGTCGTTATGTGTATCAATAGTTTATTCCTTTGTATTGCTGAGTAGTATTTCATTATGTGGCTGCGCTATGATTTGTCTATCCATACACCTAGTGATAGGTATTTGGTTTGTTTCTACTTTTGGGCTATTATAAATAAAGCTGCTGTGAATGTTCATGTACAAGTCTTTGTATGGGCATATATTTTCATTCTCTTGGGTAAATACCTATGAGTAGAGTGGCTGAATCATGTGGTAGGTGTATGTTTAACTTTTTAAGAAACTATCTAACAGTTTTCCAAAGTGGTTGTATCATTTTACATTCCCACCAGCAGTGCATGAGAGTCCCAGTTCCTCCCCATCTTCTCCAGCACTTGGTATGACCAGTCTTTTTAATTTTAGAAATTCTAATACATTGTTTTAATTTATATTTCCCTAGTGACAAATAATATTAAGTATCTTTTCATGTGCTTATTTACCATCCTTGTCCCTTCCTTGGTGACATGTCTATTCAAATCTTTTCTTCAAAATTGAATTGATTGTTTTCTTATTATTAAGTTTTTGTCTTAGTCTGTTTTGTGTTGCTCTAATAGAATATCACAGACTGGGTAATTTATAAAGAAAAGAGATTTATTTTTCAGAGTTCTGGTGGCTGGGAATTGCCAGCATCTGGTGACAGCCTTCTTACTACATCATACCATGGTGGAAGGAAGAAGGGCTAGTGAGGGTGACAGCGAGAAACAAGAGAGGGCTAAACTTGCTTTTATAACAACCCACTCTCTCTATAACAAACCCACTTCCCTAATAATGACATTAAGCCATTCATGAGGGCAGATCCTTCATGGTCTAATCACCTCTTATCATTCTCTCTTTTAAATCTATCACAATGGCAGTTAAATTTCAACATGAGTTTTGAAGGGAACATTCAAAGCATGGTAGTTTTGAAGTTCTTTATGTATTCTGGATACAAGTCCTTTATTAGATATATGATTTGCAGATGTTTTTTACCAGGCTGTGTCTTGTCTTCTCATTTTTTTTAACAGTGTCTTTGCAAGGGCAGAGGGTTTGAATTTTGGTGAAGTTTAATTTATCAATTTTTTTCTTTTTTTTTATTTTAAGAAATCTTTGCCTAACCAAAGGTCACAAAGATTTTCTCTTGTTTTTTCTTCTAGAAATTGTATGGGTTTGTGATCCATTTCGAGGGTTTTTTTTTAATATATGCAAGTTATAGATGAGCATAGGTCACAAAGATTTTCTCTTGTTTTTTTCTTCTAGAAATTGTATGGGTTTGTGATCCATTTCGAGGGTTTTTTTTTAATATATGCAAGTTATAGATGAGCATACATTTTTTGCATATGGATATCCAATTGTTTCAGCTTCATTTATTTTAGGGACTATATTTTCTCCACTGAATTGCCTTTGCACCTTCGTCAAAAATTGGGTCTTCGTATATATATATATATATATATATAGCTCTATTTCTGGATTTTCTATTCCATTGATTTATGTCTTGATGCCAGTACCACAGTCTTGATTATGTTAGCATTATATTGTGTCTTGAAATCTAATAAAATTAGGGCCGGGCGTGGTGGCTCACGCCTGTAATGCTAGCACTCTGGGAGGCCGAGCCGGGCGGATTGTTTGAGCTCAGGACTTCGAGACTAGCCTGAGCTAGAGTGAGACCCTGTCTCTACTAAAAAAATAGAAATTAGCTGGACAACTAAAAAAAAAATATATATATATATGAAATTAGCTGGGCATGGTGGCGCATGCCTGTAGTCCCAGCTACTCAGGAGGCTGAGGCAGGAGGATTGCTTGAGCCCAGGAGTTTGAGGTTGCTGTGAGCTAGGCTGACGCCACGGCACTCTAGCCCGGGAAACAGAGTGAGACTCTGTCTCAAAAAAAAAAATACCTAATAAAATTCGTACTCTGTCTTTTTCTTTTCGCATATTTAGCTATTCTAGTCTTTTTGCATTTCCATAATGAATTTTGGAATCACCTTATCGATTTCTACAGAAAACCTTGCTGGAATTTTTAGTGAAATTGTATTGAATCTATAAACCAACTCAAGAAGAATTAACATCTTAATATTTAGTCATATTAATATAAATTTATAATTATTTATGCTTTTATATCTTCAATTATATAAGAAAAAAGGAGACGTTATAAGCCAAAAATACAGTAACACTGGCTTTTTTAGTTATTTAAGTAGACTTTTGGCTTCTAGTTATTGTCTAGTGTCCTTTCACTTCAGCCTGAAAGACTCCCTTTAGCATGTCTTCTAGGGCAGTTCTACTAGCAGTGAACTCCCTCAGATTTTGTTTACGTGGGAATATCTTAATTTCTCCTTCACTATTTTTTTTTCCAAATATTATGGGGGTACAAACATTTTGGTTACATAAATTGCTTTTGTACTGTTTGAGTCTAGGTTATAAGTGTGCCCATTCCCCAGATAGTGTGCATTGTACCCGTTAGGTGAGAATTTACACATTCCCGCCTCCCCCCTCCCACCTGCTTGATTTCCAATGAATGTTATTTCCATATGTGCACGTAAGTGCTGATTGATTAGTTCCAATTTAATGGTGAGTACATGTGGTGTTTGTTTTTCCATTCGTGTAATACTTCACTTAGAAGAATGGTCTCCAGTTCTGTCCAGGTTAGTATAAAAGGTATTAGTTCACCTTTTTTTTTTTTTTTATGGCTGAGTAGTATAATAATTTTCCTTGGTGTTGAATTCTTGGTCAACAGTTGGGTTTTGTTTTGTTTTTTTCTTAGCACTTTAAATATGTTATACCACTTCCTCAGGCTTCCATGGTTTCTGATAAGAAATTGGCCTTTAATCTTATTGAGGATCCCATGTACATTTGAAGTCTCCTCTCTCTAACTGACAAGATTCTCTCTTCATCTTTGGCTTTTGACAGTTTGATTAGAATGTGTCTCAGTGTAGAACACTATGAGTTTATCCTACTTAGAGTTCTTCAAGTTTGTTGGATGTGTAGATTCATTTCTTTTATTAAATATGAGAAGTTTTGAAACACTATGTCTTCAAATACTCTTCCTGCCTCTTTCTTTCTCTTCCCCTTCTGGAATTCCCATTATGTGTATTTGGTGTGGTTGATGATGTCTCACAAGTCTTTTAGGCTCTGTACATTTTTCTTCATTCCTTTGATTTCTGCTCCTTATTCTAGATAATTTTATTTTCTCTATCTTCAAGTTTACTGATTCTTTATTCTCTCTGCTCATATCTGCTGTGAAATATTCACTCTAGTGAATATTTTAATTTCAGTTTTTGTACTTTTCAGCTCCAAAGTGTCTTTTTGATTGCTTTTAATAGTTTCTGTCTCTTTATTGCTAGTCTCCATTTATTGAGACATTGTTTTCCTGGTGTCCTTTAGTTCTTTGTCCATGGTTTCTTAATTTTTTGAACATGTTTAAGATGGTTCATTTAAAGTCTTTGTGTAGTAATTCCCATATCTGTACTTCCTCAGAGACAGTTTCTGTTCATTTCTTTTTTTCCTGTGAATGGGTCATATTTTCTTGTTTCTTTGTGTGCTTTGTAATTTTTTGTTTAAAACTAGACATTTTGAATATCATGATGGTCAAAAAAGAAAAAAATAGAGAATTTTAAAAAAAGAATATACTCTCCAGGTCTTTGTAGATTGGCTCTGTTTTGGGGCCTTCCTTTATCACTTATCCAGGCCTTTTACAACATTGCCTTGGCCTTCACTTCCTGCTAGCACTGAGCCTAAACACCACCCAGTTATGAAATGAAAGCTTATGGTCTGCCCAGGCCTTTTCTAAACATGCATCCTGCCCTGTACATGTGCAAGGCTTTGTAGGTTCTCCATTATATGTGGAAGCTTTTCAAAACCCTTATTCCCCAAAATGGACCATGGTGCAGGTATACAGTGAGCGTATGCCCAGAAAGAACATTATTAAATTTCTGGCAGGTCCAAAGTTCAGATTTGTTTGTTGCAGAATACAAGTTACTAGGAAGCAATAAAAATGTTGCCAAGCTTGTATCAGGGATTTTTAGCATAAAATAGGCTTCGCAGATAATATACCCAGGTTAAGTATTGTGTAGGATATACTTACACTAAAAATTATTTGTTGTTTATCTAAAATTCAAGTTTACGAGGGCATCCTATATTTTTATTTGCTAAATCTGGCAACCCTAGCCTAAAACCATCTTTTGGAAAGTGTTTTAAAGGTAAAGGAAGTATAAATATCAGAGCAGATGAAAAGATTGAAGCTTAATAAAAACAAATCCAAAAACAAGTCTGAAGGGACTCTGGATGACAGTCCACCACAGTATCCAAAGTCTGTTTTTCAAAGGGGAGTTAAAACCAGCTTTCCCCAAAAGGAAAACTATTGTTCATTGCTGATGTATAGGAATACTACAGGTTGGGACTGTTTTTGATACTACCATTGGAACTATTAATAGTTTAAAGACGAGATGTCTTTCAATTTTAAGGTTGGAATGAAGCACTCTTAACTAGGGGTAAAGGAGAAAAAGCTCACCTAGAGATAGAAGATAGCCAAATGCTAAAATTCCATCAAACTCAGACTTATTTTTGAAGTGGAATTAGTGACTATTGACTGAAATAATAGGGCTGCAAATCAACAATGATGTAAACCTGTGGCCTTGAAGAAACATCTGTAACTTACTCCAGTTGCTTACTCTTGTGGATAATTCTTTAAGGAGTTAAGTTAAATCTTGCTTGCTTACTTGCTTCTCACCTTTTGAGAACGTGATCCTTTACAAATACTTGAAAGTCTAAAATATGTTATTATAGCTATGTAAAACACTGGTTAAAGAAAACTGATTTTTCTTTTTGCTCACATTGTGAACTAAAAAGCTCAACTCATTTTTTTTTAAAGACACACAGTTTTGACATGTACTTTGCATTACAGGCAGTGAGGTCACTCAAGGAGACAATCGAAGACTGTTGGGACCAGGATGCAGAAGCTCGGCTTACTGCACAGTGTGCTGAGGAGAGGATGGCTGAACTTATGATGATATGGGAAAGAAACAAATCTGTGAGCCCAACAGTCAATCCAATGTCTACTGCTATGCAGAATGAGCGGTAAGACCCTGAGGGGTTTGGCATTTATCAACCAGCATTAGAAACTGAGACCAAACAAAGAACAGGAAATAAATACTGTTAAACCAAGCTAATGATGCAGTGATAAACTCATATGGTCTAAAGTTATAATTTTTCCTTCAAAATTCCCATTCTACTGAAATTTTTGTTTGGTACGAGTACAAGATGGAATCTATCTTTTTTATATCTAAAAGGTATAGTAAAGGAAATTAGTCTTTCTCTCTTAGCATTCCAACTTTCTTGTAATAACAAAGGCAAAACATTTTTATAGTTTTAAAAGTTTGTGAGCACTTCTACATATATTATCTCATTTATCCTTTGTTATTTTTCCTTCCTCCCCTGCTTTTTCTTTTTAAAAGTAAATGGAACCATGAACTTACCTGTGTATCTAACCATAGATTCACTGATGATAAGGTTTTCAGACTTCCTATCCAATGCTCTTTCTTACAGAATACACTATTACTATTTTTACATGAATGCAATTCAGAGGTCTTTCTATTCCATCATAAACAATATTTTATGAGACATTTCTTTTATTAGAACTATGATTTTTGGTTCTAAATTAAAAGGCTTTTTAAAAATTCCTACAACTTAGAAATTTCAGATTGTCATCTGTATTTCTTTTTTCCATGTTTGGGGAAAAAAAGCCTTCCCGTGAATTTGTCACTTTATCTAATACATTTTTAAAACTTTCAGAAAGGCATCCAGGAAAGGGTTACTGGAGAAAATTAAGATAAAATTACAATTGATTCTTGAATGAATTTCTTTGTTATTTTTTATTCTTCTAATTTCTAAGAGCAATTTATATTATGAACTATGGGTCGAAATTGGGTTTGGCTACTCAGGTATAGGTTGAATTAGCTTCAGATATAAACTCTTATTCCTTAGACATCAATAAGTCAGGGAAGGGGCCGGGCGCGGTGGCTCACGCCAATATTCCTAGCACTCTGGGAGGCCGAGGCGGGCGGATTGTTTGAGCTCAGGAGTTCGAGACCAGCCTGAGCAAGAGTGAGACCCCGTCTCTACCAAAAATAGAAAGAAATTAATTGGACAGCTAAAAATATATAGAAAAAATTAGCCGGGCATGGTGGCGCGTGCCTGTAGTCCCAGCTACCCGGGAGGCTAAGGCAGGAGCATCGCTTGAGCCCAGGAGTTTGAGGTTGCTGTGAGCTAGGCTGATGCCACGGCACTCTAGCCCAGGCAACAGAGTGACACTCTGTCTCAAAAAAAAGAAAATAAATAAATAAATCAAGGTAAGAACTAAGAATTCTAAATATAAATTATCTTACTTTACACATACCTGAGGACAGTGTTCTGCTTTCATCTTTCCCTAATCTCTGTATTTTTCATGTCTTCTAGTATGCTATTTATAGCTCTCTCAAAAATCAACTGAAGTTCTGGGAACAGTGGCTTATGCCTATAATCCTAGCACTCTGGGAGGCCAAGGCAGGAGGATTGCTTAAGGTCAGGAGTTCAAGACCAGCCTGAGCAAGACCCCATCGAAAAATTAGCCAGGCATGGTGTTGCACTCCTGTAGTCCCAGCTGCTGGGGAAGCTGAGGCAGGATGATGAGCCCAGGAGTTTGAGGTTGTAGTGAGCTATGATGACACCACTGCACTCTAGCCTGGGCAACAGTGCCAGACTGTGTCTCCCAAAAAAAAAAAAAAGTCAGCTAAAGCTTTTACTTTTGAACTTTTCTTGAATGGTAAAAAGAAACTCTTGATGCTGTCCCTTTCTTTGGCCATTTTTTGCCTCCTCTGTCATTTAGCTCTACCCCCTGCATGATCTTCTAATCTCTGCTAATAGTTTTTCCTTAATTATGGTTCATCCCATAATCATTCTCACTCTAGGTCTCATTTTATTGAATCTTACCCTCCATGCCTTCTTAGCTTCCTTTTCTTGTGCTATATACCAGTTTTTTATTCTTCCCCTCCTGGCATTCCCCTTATAACTTCATCTGTCTCTCTTTATAAAAAGCACCTCTTTTCCTTTGGCTGCTGCTTCTCTCCTAGAACACTTGTATCTATTAATGTTCCCAATGTTTATACCTTGATTGTTTTTGTTAAGCTACTTCTGGTTTTTATTTAGTCAAATTTTATTTTATTTCATTTCATTTTAGTTTTTATTTCAGAATATTATGGGAGTACACGTTTTGGTTACGTAATTTGCTTCTGTATAGTTTAAGTCAAAGTTATAAGTGTGCCCTTCACTCAGATAGTGTGCATTGTACCTGTTAGCTGTGAATTTACCCATCCTCTCCTCCCCACTCCCATTTAGTCGGATTTTAAATAATATAAATACATTCCAAGGTGGTAATCAAGAATTGTCACTCCCAAGGAGTGGCAGTGACTGTGAAGAACCCATGATAACTGGAGAGCAGTTCTGAATCTTTGATCTTTTATCTGAATGTTACATTTTTTTCTTATACCCTAGGCTCAAAGAGTTTCACTGATATGGCTCAGACTACCCCAGGAAGATATGTTCCATTGCTAAGCTGTGCCTCTCAATGGAGGTACTTTGGAACAGCCTAAAAGCTTCTGTTCTTTTTACCATTTGGCCATTGGAACTTAACTGATAACATACTTGTTGAGTAGAAACTATGTATCTAGAATTATGGGAGTACAAAAGAAACATGCCTCGTAAACAAAAATAATGAACATTTATTAAAATTATATTTAGATCCACAAAGAATTTTCAGTAGGCTTAATTCATGTAAAACTAACATATATCAAGTTATTAATTGGTACTTGATTATTTGATTAGACTTTTTAAATAATTTCTAAAGCAATATGGGTTAGGAATAAAATAAAAAGCAGCTCAGACTTTAAAATCAGAGGTGTTAAACTTGGAGAGACAGTTTGTCATAAATGTGCATTCTCAATGTGACACTTTTTTTCTTTCTTTAAGCAACCTTTCACATAATAGGCGTGTGCCAAAAATTGGTCCTTATCCAGATTATTCTTCCTCCTCGTACATTGAAGACTCTATCCATCACACTGACAGCATTGTGAAGAATATTTCTTCTGAGCATTCAATGTCTAGCACACCTTTGACTATAGGCGAAAAAAATCGAAACTCAATTAATTATGAACGTCAACAAGCACAAGCTCGAATCCCCAGCCCTGAAACGAGTGTCACTAGCCTGTCCACCAACACAACAACCACAAACACCACTGGCCTCACTCCAAGTACTGGCATGACCACTATATCTGAGATGCCATATCCAGATGAAACAAATCTGCATGCCACAAATGTTGCACAGTCAATTGGGCCAACCCCTGTCTGCTTACAGCTAACGGAAGAAGACTTGGAGACCAATAAGCTAGACCCAAAAGAAGTTGATAAGAACCTCAAGGAAAGCTCAGATGAGAATCTCATGGAGCATTCTCTTAAACAGTTCAGTGGGCCAGATCCACTGAGCAGTACCAGTTCTAGCTTACTTTACCCACTCATAAAGCTTGCAGTAGAAGTGACTGGACAGCAGGAGTTCACACAAGCTGCAAATGGCCAAGCATGTTTAATTCCTGATGTTCTGCCTGCTCAGATCTATCCTCTCCCCAAGCAACAGAACCTTCCTAAGAGACCTACTAGTTTGCCTTTGAACACCAAAAATTCAACAAAGGAGCCCCGGCTAAAATTTGGCAGCAAGCACAAATCAAACTTGAAACAAGTAGAAACTGGAGTTGCCAAGATGAATACAATCAATGCAGCAGAACCTCATGTGGTGACAGTCACCATGAATGGTGTGGCAGGTAGAAACCACAGTGTTAACTCCCATGCTGCCACAACCCAGTATGCCAATGGGATGGTACCATCTGGCCAGACAACCAACATAGTGGCACATAGGGCCCAAGAAATGCTGCAGAATCAATTTATTGGTGAGGATACCCGGCTGAATATTAATTCTAGTCCTGATGAACATGAACCTTTACTGAGACGAGAGCAACAGGCGGGCCATGATGAAGGTGTTCTGGATCGTCTTGTGGACAGGAGGGAACGGCCACTAGAAGGTGGCCGAACTAATTCCAATAACAACAACAGCAATCCATGTTCAGAACAAGATGTTCTTACACAGGGTGTTCCAAGCACAGTAGCAGATCCTGGGCCATCAAAGCCCAGAAGAGCACAGAGGCCTAATTCTCTTGATCTTTCAGCCACAAATGTCCTGGATGGCAGCAGTATGCAGAGTAAGTGGAGGGATCATGTAATTTCTCCTGTGTGTCTTTTGGGACCATTTAAATAAGTACTTAGAATCAGATTATGTTTCAACTGGTGATTATTTACCTTTACCACTTTTGGAACTAAAACAAACCATTTAATTGGGCCTCAAAACTAATTAGACTATTGTAAAGAAAAAAAGTAATATTTTTTGTCATTGATAATAGTATCACAATAGTCAGAATAATTACCAATTTAATATGTGCTTTATATGGCTTCAGCTTTATAATGCAACTCACGTACTTGCTATGAACAGTTGAGATTAAGTAAATACTCACCAGTTCAAGAGCTCCAAGTAATTTTGTCAGTGTAACTTTTGAAACAGTTTGTTGTCCATATTGATATCTACCATATCTATATTTAGATTACCAAACTAACCTTAATAAAAGTCCAGAGATATTTTAGAAAAGTTACTATAAAGAAACTTTAAAGTTGTTCTCAGTCTCTTAGTGTCATGTTTTTCAAGAGTTACGTGTTGAGTGCTGGGCACAGTGGCTCATGCCTTTAATCCAGCACTTTGGGAGGCTGAGGCAAGAGAATTGCTAGAGGCCAGGAATTCAAGACCAGCCTGAGGAACACAGTGAGACCCTGTCTCTACAAAAAATTTTTAAAAATTAGCTAGGTGTGGTGGTACACACCTGTAGTCCCAGGAGGATCACTCGAGCCCAGGAGTTTAAGGCTGCATTGAGTTATGATCATGCCACTGCACTCCAGCCTAGGCAACAGAGCTAGACCCTGTCTCTAAAAATCAAACAAAAAAAGTTATGTGTTGAATCTATCACATACCTATAGTATTATACTATGAGCCCCATAGCATCTTAAACAAATAACTTAAATGGATGTTTGGTTTCTTACCCTAAAGGGATTGCAACACAAAATAGGAGACCTCACCAAAATCTGTAACAGTTATCATTATACAACATGATTTCTCTTTTAGACTAAAGCACTTAGGGGGAAAAAAAAGTTATGTTTTATGGTTGTCAAGGACTACAAAATGGGCTGAAGGAGAATAAAGGTCTCAGAAAACAATCAATAAAATCTAGCCCCTTGCTTGAATGGCTTGTATTATAGACCATTTGACAGGGCTCTGTACTGTAGGGCTCTGTGTCAGTAAAACATCTTGTCTGGTTTGGAAAGAGGGAATTACTGGAATATTTGTACTCTAATATTTCTGTCATTCTTCTGAAAAATACTACATGCCAGGTACCTTCAAAATTTGATCTACTTTGAGCACTAATTAGAATGATTAAGTACATTTTACCAAGTTAGGATCTCTACCAAAACCAAAATATTTGAGAATACAGCTGAGAACTTTGAATTTTCTCCTCCACTTTTACTTTTCTTGTTTTTTTCCTATATTTCTTCCTTGCCCTGTAGAATAGTTCAATCAGTTTTAAAAACATTTGGCTTAAAAGAGTCTTAAAAATAAGTTGGTTAAGCTTTGCTTGGAAAAACATTGCTTGGCATCATGAATTTTAAGAAATGTCCATCAGCACCCCCCACATACATTAGTTTGACCTGTTCTTGAGTTGCAACCCTGACCGTTTACTTTTTAATAGTTTATATATAGTTCATTTTGTGTACTTCTATTTTTGGTAGGTGAGTCAACACAAGATGGCAAATCAGGATCAGGTGAAAAGATCAAGAAACGTGTGAAAACTCCCTATTCTCTTAAGCGGTGGCGCCCCTCTACCTGGGTCATCTCCACTGAACCACTGGACTGTGAGGTCAACAACAATGGCAGTGACAGGGCAGTTCATTCCAAATCCAGCACTGCTGTTTATCTTGCAGAAGGAGGCACTGCCACAACCATGGTGTCTAAAGATATAGGAATGAACTGTCTGTGAAGCCTATGGAGTGAAATTATATTTTGCATCATTTAAACATGCAGAGACATTAAAAAAAAAAAAACCTGCTTTATCCTTTTGTCAGCACCGCCTCCCACCCCTGTAACAAGGACTTGCTTTAAATAGATTTCAGCTATGCAGAAAAATTTAGCTTATGCTTCCATATTTTTTAATTTTGTTTTTTAAGTTTTGCACTTTTGTTTAGTCTTGCTAAAGTTATATTTGTCTGTTATGACCACAGAATTATATGTGTGTGTATCAAAAGTGGTCTCAAAATATTTTTTTAAGAAAAAAAAAGCAAAAACAATGTATTGCTGATAATCAGTTTGGACCAGTTTCTAAAGGTCATTAAAACAAAAGCAAATTAAGACAGGTTTGACTGCAGTGGTGTCTGGTATCCATGTTTTATTTCTGGGCACAAGCTAGTTTATATTTTGCTATGTTCCTGAACATATTATCTGTTGGACATTATTTTCTCTTGTGTTTTGTTTGAATGTGCAATAGTCTATAGACCACAAATAAGCTTTCTTGTAAGCTCTCTTCCTAACAGGGCACACATTCTTCCATAATATGAACATTTTTCTCCCCTATCTCCCATACTTTTTGTAGGTCAGTTCTATGACAGTGAATTTTGCACAGGAGAAAACAACTACCTGACTTTTTACTTTCTCTCTTCTTACGGAGAATGCAGAAACATTGTCTCAAAGGGCTCTAAAGGAGGAACTACCAAAACCTAATTTGAAATGCCATTTCTTTTAACCTTCCAAATCCTAAACATTTCCTTCCAGGCATTTTAATAAACATATTTGGTTCTAGTTTTGGAAGTTCATAATAGAGAATAGAACAAAATACAGGAAATCAAATATTAGACTTTTCCCATTTTATTTCATTTTTCTATATATGTTCATGTTCCATATTCATTTATTTATGAAACATATTTTTATCAGAAAACTTATAGAGCTATGCCTACATGGGATTTCTAAGTAGGTAGATGGTTAAGACAATATTAGTGTTATAGCTTTTATTCTCTGAATAGGCCATCTTTGACTCCAATAAAATTACATTTACTGTTTATTATAATTTCTAAAGTAATTCATAGTTTTAAACCTGTAATATCTTTTACCATGTTCCCAAGCAAACCTGGCAACTTTATCTGATGATGATTCCTCTTACCATGACCTAAAACACTGTGTGGAAAAATCATTCAACTGGCACGTCAAATCCCTGTAGAAGGAAGGATTGCTGCCAAATGTTTTTTTTTTTTTTTTTTTTGAGCAGACTCAAAAAATTCAATTTTCAGTATTTTCAAATTTCAATATTATTTCTTTGCTAATCTTATTTCCATTTTTCCTTTTGCCAATTTTTCACATCTTTGATATGTGAACATCATTTATTATTTCCATTTTATTAAAGTATACTATTTAGTGACTACATGTCTTGAAATCATATTTTTTAATGCTTCCTTTGCTTTCTTCATTACTAATAATCTTCTCTAAAACAACCACCCCTGCACATTTTTTTCAATAAAACACTTTCTGTCAAATAAGGGGCTTTTTTTCTAAACACAAATTATTTTCTATCAATTTGCAAACAATTATGACTTGTTTTATTTTTTTCAGATTCTGAGAGTGCTTAAATAGGCATTATCTAATTAAGTTCTAAGATATTTCTGATAAAAAGTTAAGAGGAAAACACAAATCCCCAAATTCCTGATTTAGGTCTTTATCTCCTGAACAATATTTTCTCACTCATGTTCTTCTATGATTTACCTAAAGATAGCCTAAATTTCCCAATTTACTGTCCAAAATACTTGTGACTTGCTTGTATATAAGCCTTCTCTTGTTTGCCATCTGCTGTGATCTTATGAATTAGACGTTACAGCACTTACCATTTTATTCAGCTGGATTGCTAAACACAGTTCTGAATTCTTAGAATTAAGATTATTTTATAAGTGCCCAGGATTTCTACCTTTTATGTTTTATTGGCCCTTTCCCTGATTCATACCCATTACAGAATTTTCAGTCTTCTAGCATATAATTTTTTTTCACAGGTTTTTTATTTTTTTTAGAGACAGGCTCTTGCTCTGTCACCCAGGCTGGAGTGCAGTGACGCAATCATAGCTCACTGCACCGTTGAACTCCTGGGCTCAAGCGATCCTCCCAAAGTGCTGGGATTACAGGCATGAGCCACCATGCCTGGCCCATAGTTATTATCTTTCTATCTGTTAACAAATTATTCGTGTCTTTCCCAGTACATTTTCACTTAGTTCTCTTGCACTTAAATGCCTTTCAAATGTATTTCAGGATATTCTTTTTAAACATTGGCAGGACAACTTTGAATCAAAGTAAATTATATTCCTTCTCCAATTTGAAGCATTGAGGATAAATAACCATTTGAAGTCTAACTGATCTTTTCCTGCCAGCAGAAGAGTTATCTTATGTTCTGTCATACTTTGTATTTGGGCCACTCGATTGTTAGTTTTCCAACATTTTTTAATGTTTAATAATGAAATACTTGAAAAAATTAATATTCCAGATTAAAAGAACTCCGTATAGTGTACTATTTCATTCAACCATGTTTAAAACAAATAATTTCCTTCCCCCAGTTTTTCTTAGTAGACTCTTTTTTGAAAAAGTAGCAAAGGTAGAAAATGTAGATCATTTTAATAAATTTTAAGTTGTACATCAGACTTTTAGAATCTGCTTGTAATATATAAGCAAGCAAAATCACTAAATGACTTAATTACTAACTTTATTCATGTGATAATGTTTCTTAAAGCTGATATTTAACTGGTATCAAAATTTTACATGTAGGAAAGTATTAATATTTGATTCCTTTTGAATAAAAGGCTATTTAGTTAAAAAATATTAAAATTCATTCCACTGGAATGAATTAAAAGCATTATAATAAGCATTAAAAGCATTATAATAAGTAATCAGAGTCTAATATTAATTCTCTTAACAAAATCCTAATTGTACACCAGAATTAGGTCATTGAAAGAACTTGATATGAATTATGTTTAGATAAAAGTTATTTAATTATAAATTCTTAAAACCTTTTCTAAATGAATTAATTGGAAAAAAACACTATTATCAATGTAAGGTTATGGGAAGGCACATATTGAATACAAGGGTATACATACACTATTTCTGTTAATTCTCAGAGCACCCATATGAGTATTATATTTACTATTCCCATTTTTCAGAGGAAACTGAAACTAAGAGAAGCTAAGTAATTTACCCAAGGTTCACATCTAGCAGTAGACAAAGTTGGGATTTTAGTCTGGGTCTGCCTTTCTCCACATCTCTTTCATCTACACCACACTGCCTATGCTGTATGACAGGATGTGTAATGTGCTGATGTTTTGTAAAAAATTCAGTCATTATACTCCAGCCCAATTATGGTTTGTATATAAGCCAAACCAGATACCTTAAAGATTTTAGAAGTTAGGCAAACATAAGAAGATGTATAGACATGTCTGTGCTGATTGTTATTTCAGAAATAATTACTAATTCAAGACAAAATTCAATCTTGTATCTTCATCATGAATCTTAAAATCATTTTACTTCATTCCTAACATTCTTATATTGTAGAACTAAAGGTGAAATAAATTTTAAGAGAAAAGTGAAGGTATCTTTTGGGAACAGAAACTTTTTCCTAAATTGATTTAATTTAACATCGAATTTCAGTCTTATCAATCCTTTGACTCCATCTTCAAGATTTCTGCTTTTAGTGACTAGAAAGTTTACTAATCCACTAAGGTATGCAGGAAGGATACAAGGATGATGTCCTTTTTATAAAACAGTTTAGTATGGCTTCCTTACATGTATCCACTTGCTCCAGAAAATGTACCTTGGTTTTTGAATATAAAAATAATTAGGAAGGAACACTCAAGTAAGTATACATTTGAGTGGCAATTATCACAAAATTTGGCAGGTATTTTTATTTAGAAATATTTTCAAATTTGGCTTCTAAGGCCAAATGGAATACCTGGTAAGCTGCAGCTATTATACTGAACTTTCCAGTCTCTGTAAGTCTCTCTTGAAAGTCATTTAAAATGGAAAAATATTTCAATAATTTTTTTGTTTTTTTCTTTCATATTTATGGACATGAATATTTTATTGGAGGTTGTTAATTCCTAGAACTTGAGATTGCATTATATTTCTATAGAGCATTTTGTAAATTTATGTTGAACTTACTACCAGTTATATGCAGGTTATTAAACTATTCACAGATTGCTTTATGTGTTGTTTTATCTCCTAGCTAACTCCTTAAAGTTAGAATCTGTACAGACATGTTCATTGATTATCTAGACCAGTCCTTCTAGAAATTGTGTTAACACTCCCACATACACTCTACACATACACCCTAGGAGACATTTTCAGACTGAGATATTTCTATAATAAATATTCATACTATTTACTGGCAGTTTACTCTTCACCAGATAAAGTTACATTCTAACTTTTAGATTGTGAACTATGGAAACTTTACCCAAACCTACCTTGCATAATCCCCTCATAAATATATTCCTTAATTAAGTAAATCTGGCAAATCACTGTTTGAGCTAGTTACAAAAAAATTATCAAAAGAAGGCTTTTCTACAAGTTTCCAGATTAACATAAAAGGAAAGAGGAAATCACAGGGTATTTCAGTACACGTGTCCATTACTTTCCTTAAACCACCTCATAGTTCATGTCTGACTTGCTCTATCCCTCAGTTATCTGACTTGCAATCTTCTGTGTCAGGAAAGTTTTCTTCATATCCATTCTGTCTGTCTCGTGTTTCATTTTAAATTCATCTCTCCTACCCAGTAGGAAAAAAAGAGCAGTTGTTCATCCTCCCTAACATTGGTAGTCTTCAGTATGCTTCAGGCTTCTCAATTAACATCTAAGTTTCAGTTCTTCAAGACAAAATTGCTCTAGTTCCTTTAGCTTTTTCTCCTCAGACCAATTTTAATGACTTTATTTATATTTAAGATAAAATTATATTTTATGTTATATTCAAATTCATTACTCCAGTTAAGTAATAGCTCAATAATTTGATAGAATTGAGAGTTAAGATGTTACCATTTGACAGTGGATTCAACCATCAGACTACCAGCAAATCAGCACTTAATTTTTGTATTATCTAATATTTTCTATTAAATTATGGAGTTTTATGATTTTATGTTCTCATTAGTTATAACTA